CCACCATTTTCTTTTGCGATTTCGCCATTTCACCAGAAACTTCTTGAAGACTTGCTGCAAATTCTGAGGTCTCAGCCTCGTAAAGCTTCACCTGTTTCTCTACTTCAAGTAGCTGTTTCCTGAGGCTATGTGCTCTATCACGAAGCGACTCTAATTGCTTGTACGAATCCATAAAAGCAGTCAACGCATCAACATGTTTCATAGATATACTCTCGAAATTGAGCTTCTCTGAGTTATATTGTTCAATAAGTTTCTTCATGGAGGAGCCACCTGAAAATGAGGCCTCGATTTTACCAGATGTCATAGATGGTTGATGTATATGCTCAGGTTTTTTGCTACCATTCAAAACTGGATCGCTTGTGTTCTCAGAATGACCCGCTACGCCCTCCGATGCATAACTGTTCTTACCATACAAAGGCTCCACTTGAGGATCAAGATGTTTAGGGGCAACTAAAGGGAGTACTTGCTCTTCCGTCTCAAGGCGAACCGCATCATCATGTAGTGTAATCAAATCAAATGAAGGGACAATCCCTAGCAAAAAAAAAACATACAAGAATAAGCACTCAAATTAGTGACTGCCAACATGTAAAACAACTCGCTTCATATAAAGAAACAGAGAAATACCATCTGCAGAGGCAACTACACCGTTGGAGACCGATTCTTGATTGTTGAAACCTGCGAAAACCGGAATCGATTCTTTTCCCACAGTGACTGCATTCATTGGAAGAGTATCCACAACTCTGTTTCCAAGAGTCGTAGACTCACTAGATGAAGTTGGATTCAATTCTGATTCAACCACAACTCCAAGTCTGTTCCTTTTCACATTACCATCAGAATCCAACTCGGTTTCGTGAAGCAAACTCTCATCAAAACCCGAAAATCTATCGTTCTCTACTTGTTCAGATTCAGGTTGAATTTGAACATCATCCTCCCATTTAAAGAATCCACAATCCCCAAAACCCTAACAAAAAAAAAAAAAAACAGAAACAACTTTTCAAATCAGAATCCGAAGTATGTAATGAAGATGAGTTTAGGTTTTGTCTTAACCTTCTTAACGCAGCAAACAAAGTAAGAACGTTGAGCGTTTGGTCCGTCGATGACTGTTACTCTTTTACAAGGTCCTGCGCCACAAGGACAAGTAGGGAGATCGGCGATTGGCTCCGATTTGATACTCACTTGATCACACCACTTGAAAAATTTACAGCTTGGGCATGTGTAGAATCTCCTGTTTGGGTTTTTCTCAGTTTTGGAAGTCAAAATGTTGCAAGCTCCGGCGTTACAGGGACAGTGAATGACCGGCGGAGAAGCGACGGCGACGGTGGTAGGTATCGTAGTGGTTTTGAGAGGACAGTTGTTGGCCCAGTGGCCTGGTTGATGACAACGGAAGCAATCGCCAGTTGACATGGCTTATCAGAGGGAATAATCGTCGTCGTGCTTCTCTAACACTTGTCCTCTTTTAGATTCTCTTTTTGTTTTTTACTTTAACCGAAAAAAAACGAAAAAGTCAAGACATGTGATTAGAAACAAGACAGGTGAATAGAGTTGTTCTCGATTTGTGGGAGCTATTTTTTCAAGTCACAACGGTCGTTAAAACTTAAAAGTTAGATTAGTAAAAATATTAGTGTTAATTTGATTTAGTGGATCATTCATTAAATAACATCATGGCCAAAATCAAAGAATGAATGACATCAACGACAAGATCACGACGCTCCGACTGATAACACGTGTTATTAAGGTTGAATTACAGTCGATGTTATAATTTGATGTAATTTACAGTAAAATTTATGTGGTATAAACTGTAGACGGATGTAGTAATTTGCTGTAAAAACATGAGTTATCAATCTGATTAATACAAGTGACTGGTAACTATTGTGTTTCTTTAAAAGTTGCAGTATATGTTATCAAAACTAATTAAATTAAATATCATTAATAATAATAATAATAATTCTTAAAAATTAAATAATAAAATAAAATAATACTAAAAACATAGTTAGTTTGAAAAATATTTTTGTTACATAATAGTTATAAAACTAATGACTTACATTTCATAGCATATTTAAACTTTCATATGTATTAAATCTAATCCTGTAAATAGTTTTGATAATTAAATGAAAATAAAAAACATAAATTTAAAAATTTAAAGATGTTAAGAAAATTAAGAAATTTAATTACCTATTTTTATGAAATGTTATTGAATAAAATTAAGATAATAATAACAATTTTTCTCATTATTCAAATTAATTTAAGATATTTTCTTTTAATTTAAAACTAATTTTCGTTTTTTAAAAAAGTAAAAATTATAACTCAACTTACCACATCCTAACTCATGAGAATTTCCATGTTTTTGAGTTAAGGTTTGATTTAGCAATTTTACAAAGGAGATAAATCAAAAATGTAAGTCATTCATAACTCAATAAACTTCAACCTCTAATACAAATTTTTAAAAACAAATCATGATTGGTAACATTTTTTAGTTATTTTCCTAATTCAATGATACCAATCTTTTCCTATATCTTCTCAACACTCAATGATTGAAGTGCTGGTATGCTCATAAGTCTAGGTTTTGTGTTTCTCTTTGACATCAATATATATATGCACATGTCACGAAACCCTTGTCGTTAAATAGAGCTTGGGATCTAATTGGCTGCAATCAATGATGCAAATCGGCCCAATAGAGAAGTAACAGAGCGGGGTGTTACAATTCTCTCCACTTAAATGAAATTCATCGTCGGTTTATTTGGCAGAGAGTTCTTCAATCGAACTTACTGTTTTCCACTCTTCTATTCATTTCCATGAACACCCCAACCACGTGCATCATAACTAGCAGACAACATTCCTACTTAGGTTCAAACTTTCCCATTTCTTTAAGCAGGCGCTTGCTTAATAACACAAGCTTTGCTTTTGCTACATCACTCTCAAGACTTCTTATACGATGTTTTGGCTCAATCTCCACAAAACTTTTAGCGCAAAACATTATTCCTAGTTTCTCGCACAAGCGAAAAAGTCTCAAACAACAACTTACGCAATCAAGACATTCAAGCTAGCAAACTAACCAATCATCAAGTTCAAGCAAAATACAAAATCAATCATTCAAAACTTTTTCTTTTTTGTAAACTTTTTGTGAAATGGTTTTCAAAATCTGACCCTCTGGGTTAGCACCATAATGGCCTTAACCTAGCTTTGATACCAATTGGAACGATCCTACCTCCACGATCACCACTTTTAGTGGGCTCCACGTCTTTTCTCGGCCTATGGGCCCACTCTTGTCCTACGGTCAGTTCGCTACTTCCGGAGACTTTAAGGACTTGTTTACCAATCATGCAAATCACCACTTGATCTTTCTTTATTTACTTTGTCCTTACTCACATGCAGTGTTCTAAAAGGCTTTCTAGGCGGCTACTTTAGGCATCGCCTAGGTGCTAGACGGAAGGGGGCTAATTCGATTTGTCTATAGGCATTGTTATTGGGCGGTGCTGGAGATTTGGCGGATTCAGCAGCTTTAAATCGGCTTTTTTGTTAATGAGCCCAATAAATTACACTTTTGCATTACAGTTTTTATTTTTAATTTTAACAAGCATTTTATTCAATAAAAAAAATGTTTGACAAAGTAATAATTATTACAATTATATTATATGATTGTGCTATTTTATTTATTCTTATTTTAAAATATCTTACATAATAATCTCATTTTAACTATTTGTTTTAAGATTGTGCATGCCCAACGTCTTAGTCCATAGCTTAGAATCGACGTTTACTTACTTGTTTCTTTGGTTAGTCATTAGAAAACCCAAAACCAAAACCCCCAAGTTTAGTTTTGTCTTAGCCAGATCTTCTTTTTTTAATTCAATCTCTATACCTATCACTCTTTTTTGAATTCAATCTTTAAATACTATTCCTTAAGGCAAAATTTATCGCATATCACCTTCTAAATCTTCCTTTACTTTATTGCCTTTTAAATCTTTCTAGTCATCAAGATTTACATATAAAAATAAAAATTTAAATTTTGTTGAATTTGGACATATATAAATCATATAAAATATTATAGATAAAAGATTTTAAAATATTAAGTAAATATGAATGACATTGTTACCTAATCCATCCAATAAGTCCGTGTAAAAATCGATATTTCAAGATACGTAGAAGCCAGGAAAATGATATTTTCATACTCGTACAATTTGTAAAGTGTGTTTTCATACCTGAACAAACACGTAGGGTTAATTCCAACCCAAACTGTAAAACAATTTGAATTTCATACCCATACTTTAGATTTAGTGTTTTTTTGGAGTCGTAATTAACCAGTGTTAGTTAATCGTCACGGTAGCCGAGTCAACTGACACGTGTTTGATGGTGTGGCTTAAAACAATGTTGTTGTGTTTGTTGGAATTAATATTGTATTTTTTTTGCAAAAATTGGGTCTCGAAGCCCCGAAATCTTACTGGTTGTGGGTTATAAGTTGTGTAAACGAATGAGATGTAAGGGGTTCGGAACCCGATTTTTGCAAAGAAATAATAATAATATAACTCCAACAAACACGACGGCGTCGTTTTAAGCCACCTCATCAAACATGTGCCAGTTGACTTAGCAACCGTAATGGTTGACTAACACTGGTTAATTAGGACTCCGAAAAAACACTAAATCTAAAGTTTGGGTATGAAATTCAAAAAATTTTACGGTTTAAGTTGGAATTAACCCTACGTGTTTGTTCATGTATGAAAACACACTTTACAAATTGTACGGGTATGAAAATACCCTTTTCCCGTAGAAACCAATTTCTATGATTTTTAAAACATGCGCACCAATACTAGAAATCGAATTTGTTTTTTTTTTTTTTTTCTGTAGGGTAACCGTATAGGATATAATGATAAGATTGTGTTAAATTTGTTAGAATATATATGGAATATTTTAAAATCTTTTTGATAAATTCTAAATTATGCTGTAAATATTTATTCTCTATTCTAAAAATATATGTGACTATAAGGGGGGTGTATTGGAAGGAGGATTTTATAAAATTTTGGGATTTTCTTAAAATCAACTGTTATTCAACTTATGATTTTTAAATATCTTTCCAAATCCCATGTTATTGAACTTGAGATTTATGTAAAGTCATTCAAAATAACTCACAATCACTTGTTATTCAATCAAAGATTTAAAAACTTCATATCAAATCAACTGTTATTGAAACTTACCAAAAAAAAATGAAAGAGATATTCAACATTGATTTTGGGAGACTTTTGGATAAGTTTTTACTTGAAAAATAGGCATGAACAAATCACACCTTTATAGGTGTTATTTGGAAGGATTTTATAAATAAAAAATATCACAAGAAATATTCTAATCACCATCTCGTCTTCTGTTCTTCAAGGAGATGAAGAAGAGAGGGACGAAGAGAATTATAAACTGTCAACAAAGAAGAAGAGGAGAGGATGATCTAAGGAGGAGAAATCGATTCCCTCTTACGACACGATCGAAACAGAATTCTCGATTGGGCTAAGATTTTAATGGGAATCGAAGATTTTAGTAACTCCTCCTAAATCTTATCTTTAATCGGTATTATTTCCCGAGGGTAGCGTGTAAACTAACTGTGAATCGATTTCGTTAACCAATCAGGGTCTGAAAACTGCGTCGGCATCGGGTGGTAACGAAGTATCTGAGGGAAGGAAAGTATTGCAGATTATACTTGAGTATGAAAAGGTATGTCAATCTCTTACCAACCAAAAACCTTTCGATAGAACTGAAATCTTTACGAAACAATAAAGAAGGAAAGTTCACAATTACTATCAATCGATCAGCCCTTACATACGCGGGTTTTGGACGACCTAACTTACCATGGTTAATTTTGTTTCCTAGATGAAATGTATTAAAGTTGTACTGGATGAAGAAAGTGTGTTCAAAAGGCTGGATGAAGAAATAAGTATTGTTCATAAGAGTGCTGCTTTTGGTGATGTGAAGGTAAACTGCTTCCTACTCTGCCTGAATCTCATCCTTAGTTGGGATTATTTCTGATGGGTAATTTGTAAACTCACTGTGAAGGGTCTGAAAACTGCGTTGCTACTGCTAATAAAGATGAAGAAGACTCCGAGGGAAGGACAGCTCAGCATTTGGCATGCATGCTCGTATGGCAAGGTATGTTAATCTCTTTAACCATATCTTAGAAGGAGTTGACAATTACCATCAATCTATCGGCCTTTACTTGTCGTGTTTAACCACGGGTTTGGACTCCACTTACACTTTCTTTTTTTTTTTTTTTTTTTCTTTTTTTTGAATAGAATGTAAAATTTATTCAAAAAGAAAACGTTTTGTACAAAGAATTGCAACTAGTTTAAAGAATTTCTATGACTATTTTCAAAGATTAAAAGAAAAAAGTAGAAAGATTATTCTATCGTGTTGCAAACCATGTCGACAATCCTTTGTCGAATCTAGTATCTCCTATGGCTCGAATCGTCGAAAGTCTATTACGTACTTGCTTGTCAATGAACTGAATTAGCTTAGAATGGTGAGTCGCCGGTTCTTCATGTCGCCTACCATTTCTCTCCCGCCAAATTGTATGTATTGAGATTTGAAATACATACCTCACGAGGAAAAGGCGGAGAGCATCTTGTGCATTATCAACCAGGAACCCAATTATGCAATCCCATTTTACCGTGAACGTCGAATCAAAGAGCTTATGAGTAAGACTTCGCCAAACCTTTGCTGAGTATGGACACTCAAAAAAATGTGGTTCCGAGTTTCCATTGGCTCTGGGCAGAATGTACAAACCGTTGGAGCACCCATGTTCCAACCAACCATTCGATCACCCGTCGATAATCTATTTTGAATTGCAAGCCATGCCATGAATGAGTATTTGGGAGTTGCATGTGTGAACCAGATTCCCTTATACCATTCTTTTATTGGCTGCAATTCTCGAGTTAGATACCATGTTTCCTTAGAGCTGAATCTGGGTTTGAATTTGTCTCCTTTATGTTTCCATAAAACCAAGTCTTCTTCTTCCGAAGAGCCTCGTTGACGTTGAGAATCAATTGCTGCTTCAATATTATTCAAAAAATCCACTCTATGAGTTCGGCGTCTATGTGTGGCCAGCACACTTTCGATGGTCGAAAATATAGGTATCCCCAAATCTTTGCTGTCTCGTGAACCTGTGATGTCAAGTAATCTACCCATTGGTGACCAGTTATCAAACCAAAATGACGTGGATGCACCATTGTAGACTTCTATTCTATTCAAAGGTGCAGCAATATCTCTGTATTTCAGCAGCTTCTTCCATGTCCAAGAACCAAGAGATGATGTTTCTTTAACCGACCATAAAGATCCTTTGCGTATTAAGTACCTTCGAACCCAGTTGACCCATAGAGAAGAGTGAGCAGATAAAATTCGCCAAATAAGTTTCAAGCAGCTCACCTTATTAGCTTCAGAATTGAACGTAATCCCAAACCCCTTCTTCCTTTGGTTTGCAGACATCTTTCCAAGCAACCTTGGCTTTTTTTGTATTCAAATCAGGCCCAGACCATAGGAATGCAGCACATAGTTTGTCTATTTCTTCAATGCAAGCTTTAGGTAGGCGAAAAGCTGAAATCCAGAAATTGGTAAGGCTATGAATCACTGATCCAATAAGTTGACGACGACCAGCAAATGAGAGATACCTCGCTGTCCAACATCTTATTCTTGATCGAATTTTTTCTAATAAAGGTGTGTAGTCATTCACAGTCATTCGCTTAGTCAATAGAGGCAGTCCCAAATACCTAACCGGAAGGGAGCCACTATCAAATGGAAATTTCTTAAGGATGTCATCTCTTGTTCTTGCTGAAACTCCCGCCATGTAAAGTGTTGATTTTTCCAGACTGATATTCAAACCCGAGACTGCCGCGAAACTCTGAAACACTTGAAGTATGCCCTCAATGGACTATTTTTTTTCCATCAGAAAACATTAACAGGTCATCAGCAAAGCATAAATGCGTGAGGCAAAGATTCTGACAATAGGGATGGTATCCAATTCGTCGTTCTCTGGCCGCCTTGTCCAACATTTTTGATAAGACTTGCATACAGATCACAAACAGATATGGCGACAATGAACAGCCTTGGCGAAGTCCTCTTGTACTTCTGAAAAAACCAGCCAACTCACCATTTACCTGTACAGAGAAAGATGCCGTGGTGATGCATAATTGAAGCCAATGAATGGATTTTTCTGGAATGGCCAACGCCTTTAAAGTGGATAGAAGAAATGGCCAGTGGACAGAATCAAATGCCTTCGAGATATCTATTTTGACTGCACAACGAGCCGAGACCGTGTCTTTTTGATAGTTCTTTACCAATTCCGAAGTGAGCAAGACATTCTCCATCAAGAGGCGATCCTTAACAAATGCTGACTGGTTCGGTGAAATGAACTTTGGCAGCACCTGCTTTAAACGACTAGCCAGTATTTTAGAGATTACCTTGTAGATAACATTACAACATGAGATCGGACGGTAATCTTTCATTTCTTGTGCCTCTGTTTTCTTAAGAATGAGCGCCAGTATTGTTGTATTCAAACCCTTTGGAAGAAAGCCCTTCACAAAAAAGGATTGAATAGCCACAACAAAATCTTTACCTACCACTTCCCAAGCTTCTTTAAAGAATTCACAAGTAAACCCATCCGGACTGTGGATGTCGGATTCACACACTCAAGTATTTTATTAAGTGGGAAAGATTATTCTTGAGGGACAAAAATGAATGCGTAAAAGCTTGTAAATTGCTACGAAAATTGCTATAATATTTCTTTCTTCAAAGATCCCCTTTACATGGCCATTGGCCTCTATATTTATACATAGAGAAACGACATTAAAATGAGTAATTAAGTACAATTATTCCTTCTTAAATGTGTCCGTTTTGATTCTTTGACTTTAATGCTCAACGTTTGAATTTTGAGTTGACTCTGATCTTCATGGGCCTCGCCTTTTTGGCCCAAGTGTCCTTGAACCGGCTTACCCGTGTCTTCTACACCGAACTCGTGTCACAGTGCAGTCACTTCGGATTCTCGAGGTAGTGACAACCACTTCGACCGCTCCTTCGGCTCATGGGTCCAATGGGCTTCATCCTTTATGGGCCATTATTTTGACTACGTGGCAATCTTTGGTTGGTCGCGGACTTCTGGTGCGGGATCCGACACCAACAATTAGCCCCCCAAGTTCTTCGAAGTGCTATTCCAATTCGGAGGACTTTAAATGCTCAAGTGGCCAAAGATTGCGCTCGAGAATCTTTCTGATTTCCCGCCGAAAATCTCACCACTCCTTTAATTTCGACACTAGCCATTTTTAACCCAGTGACATCTGTCATCATTATGACCGTATATTGATTAATTACTATTAAAACGGGAAAAAAAAACCTTCCCACTTCCCACACAACTTCCGAGGCAGTTTCATCATTAGCCTGAGGTAACTTCTTTTCACCATTACTCTCTTCTTTTACTTTTGTACTTTAATCGGAACCTCTCTCTTTGTTTCCTCACAAAAACCCCTCTTCGCCGGATCTTGAATTTTTCCTTCTTCCCAATGACTTCCGATTCCGATAGACCCGAGTCTCCGTCTTTCGATGAGAGGCGTTCTAGCAATGATGAGTGCACCCGCTCTGATGATATTGCCGGTCCGCACTATAGGTCCACTTGTACTCTTCAATCCCTCGAGCGGTTGAGAGAGCTTTGCCGGATTCCGCCGGAAATTATGGCGGAAGCACAAATAGCTTCCCCCACAGAATCCCCAGAGAACCATCGCGATGGTTACTTCTGTGTGTACGAGATTTATTTCAAGGGTTGCGGGCTGACCTTTCCTCTTTCCGAAGCCCTAGTTCTATACCTAGCGGCTCTTGAAAGCGCTCTTCCTCAATTAACCCCCAATCTCCTCCGTACTATTCTTGGAATTATAACAATCGCGGCGGAGGCCGGTTACGTTGTCGGAGTTACTGAACTAAATGAGCTTCTAAGCGTGAGAAGTTCATCGAAGAAAACGGGGTATTTCTCAGCATATCCTAATGCCAACAGGAACATCATTTCACATCTTCCGAACAAGGATGAAAATTGGCATCATCCTTGGTTTCTGATTAAGAAAACTCCCGCTTCGATTGGAAATCTTGCAGATTTTCTCCCTTCGAAGTGGTCTGCGAAACCCGGTAGTGATTAGGTCGCCCGTATCTTTCTCGGTTGTTTCTTTATCTTTATTGACTAACACCGTTGTTTCATTTCGCAGCTTTCGTCGCTTCCACTCTCCCATCTGAAGAGTTCATCGAATTCTTCAAAATAATTCTTGAAGGGGAAACCCTTTGGAATTCTTTCACTCTTGAACGATTCCTAGAAGCTAACCACAGACTCAGGATGAGTCCACCTGGTCATCTTCACCAAATTCCGCCTCCTCCCTCAACTCAGGGAATGTCATCTCGGGCCCTTGCGGCCAAGCGTAAGTTGCTTTCCAAGCCGATGGATGAGGCTTGCGAGGAGAAGAAAAAGTTTCTCGCGACTTCTATAGACAAGAAGGACTACAGTAGGACCTTGCTGGTTGATGATGGCAGCACCGAGGGAGCTCGATCTGTCGCTTCCTTCAGATTAACTCCTCGTCGCGATCGTCGCGACTCACGTTCTCCTCGGAGGGATCAATCTCCTCGCCGTGACTCACCTCGTCCTCCCCGAGATGATTTTAGTAACGAACCAATTAAGAACTTGGTTCGCCGGAAGAGAGACAAGTCCTCTCGCAGTGATTCTTCCCCGAGGAGGGAAAAGTCAAGGGCCCGGACTGACCGCTCACCTCGATCATCCCCTCCTCCTGAACCAATGGGTCCTCCACGACCGGCTGATATGTCTTCCTCTTCCCAGCCTGATAGTGGAAAGACTGCTCGGAGTGCGTCTCCGAAAAAGGGAGATTCTGAATCTCGAGATGCTTCCTCGAGGTTAAAACCTGCTCTTGTCCCTCAAGTCAAATCGTTTTCAGGTTTGGTGATTCATACAGTCTTCAACGTTTTTTATTTCCATTAAGATTTCGATTTTTACAACTCTTCTTTCTTCGCAGCTATGGAGAAAGAGGGCAGCGTCTTCCGATGCTTCAAGACCCGATCGGGTTCGATCTTGCCAGACTTCGACAAATGGCGCCCTGCGATTCGTGAACGCTATTTGCTTCACGCGCATCACTCATCTCGGGTTAGTTCCGTTTTTTTTTTTTTTTTTTTTGCTGCGCCATTTTGCGAACTGACTCGCCATCCCGGGTTCATGTATAATGCCAGGCTCATAGCG